CCCCAAAACCCCAAAACCCCAAAACCCCAAAACCCCAAAACCCCAAAACCCCTTAATACATCTTTAAAATTGATCCTAGTTCAATTAAAAATTAAATACGTTTCTTCTTGATATTTTTCTTTTTATTCGAGACAAGCTTCGTCTGGGGAATTTTAATGCCATTTTGTCTTTTGCTGGTCTTAGAAGCGGCCACCATGAATGCTGATTTCTCAGTAGGACATTCAGAAACAACAGATATAGACTCATATTGATTCTTTTCCTCCTCTGTAAAGAGCCTTACTTCTTTCTCTTCCTTAACTTTTGTATTCTTGGTCCTTCTGTATACAGCTGAAGGTTTTCCTTTTAATGGGAAGGATACTTTGACTTCATCATTATTAACAATAGAATCTATAATTGCTAATGAGTCGTTTTCTGCTTCTTTAGACTGAAGATTGCCTTTGACCTTTTTATCAGTCCTCTCAAGATCTTTAACCGCCTTTTGTACTTTGAAGTCAGCCCCAAGATTAGTGTTCTCGTCCAACTTCTTCAATGGACTACAATCATCAGGATTGGTAACTCGTGGAATAGTGTCATTATTTCTGGAACATTTGCTGATCTGGATATGTACTTCCTTGATAATCATCAACTTGTTCATAGTGGATCTCTTCCTCAGAGATGTCCACCCGCATTCTTTTGAACTGGCCGAAGCTCTCTCAGAGCTCATTATTAGGATCTTTGTCATTGATAAATGAAGTTAGGATGGTTTTCTTTGCCTCATTCTCCTTCTCACGCAAGGCAAGATCTCTCTTGTTCAAGGTTATGTAGTACTGTTCGCCTTTATTATTAGTTTTTGTATAATTTTCAACAAATTTCATAAGGGGTGAGGCAAATGTCCTGCTCTCAATCTCATCCCAAGGGATGTTTTGGAGCCAATGATGGTTCTTGATTTCAGAGATTCCACCCTTCTCTCCCATACGTTGATCTGGAAATCCCTTCAGGAGTTTGAACAAGAAATCCACACATTCGTTAGTTAAGAAAGGATAACGTTTCTTAAGCTTTTTCATTGATAAAGTTCTTCTTCTCTTGAGAACGTGCTTCTGGGCTTCTTCTATAGTCTTACCGACTGCAAACATGTCTCCAGTCAGGATAAGCAGGAGTAACACCCCTAGGGAATAGAAATCAGCTGAGTAAGAGTATTTTTCATTAAGAACCATCTCTGGAGCCATGTAGGAAAGTGTCCCGAAATGTGATCCATGAATTATATCTTCCTCAAAATCAGCTACTCCAAAGTCAACGATTTTGGGGTAGCCATTGTTATCAATCATTATGTTATCAGGCTTAATATCTCGATGTATCACCTTCTTACTATGGATATGCTTGAGAGCCAAGACCATGCATGCTCATAAAAATTTAGCCTGTTCCTCAGTCAGTCTTCCCTTTGTTGCACTCTGTTTCTCAATTTTCATATGATATAGAAGATCTCCGCTAGGAATATATTCCATCAGGATGTAGGCCTTCTCAGCATCTTGGAATGAGGTAATAAACTCAGATATGAATGGATGTGGAGTCACAGCTTTGATCAACCTGACTTCTCAATTAGCCAATTCAGCATCATCGTGATTAGCAATATATGCCTTACAGAACTCTTTTATAGCAATAGGCTTCTTGAAATAATTTTGATCCAAAGAAGGATGTTCTTCACACTCGAAATTTTTAAGTTTTAGCTTGAATACTCTAGCGAAGCTACCTACTCCGAGGAGCTCTAGTCTATCCGCCTCAATTCTGTCTTCGCTCTCAACTTCATAGTCGTAGCTGGATGCTTCAGCGCATTCGTTACAATTGCCCATTACGTTAAAGTTTAAATATTTTCTATAATTTTATCTTTACTCGGGGTTTTGGGGTTTTGGGGTTTTGGGGTTTTGGGGTTTTGGGGTTTTGGGG